AGGAACCAAGATGTGTATGATACCTGCAATAAGCTGAGAACAAAATTTTCATGATCTAGCCAAATTTTATGGTTAAGAGAATGTCTTTAGGTTGATGGATATACTGTATGATGTAAACAAGTCTCTCATATCTTGCCTATTCATCATTTTGCCATTCTAACATGTTCTAATTATAGTAATGAACAATTCAAAAAAGCGTCTGATCTCTGTAGTGCATGCTAAGCGCATTCTCAAATGGATGACCAGATAAAAATGAGAGAAAATCAAGGACAAAGGGGGTGAGATTAGTAAAGGAAAGAAAATATCAAATACCAACTTGTTTTACCTGTGCATCGGTAAAAACACCAAAAGCATAGATCTCAGTATCTGGTGCAAAACCAAGACACACTGCATTCTCACCAGCAATAACACCAGCCAAAAATGTCCCATGTCCAAGATTATCATTCAAAGTATCCTCATTAGTCCAATTAGTTCGTTCCTGAAAAATTTGCTCTCAAGTTTGAATATTAAAACTCTCTACTGAACCCATTATTAACTTAGTGAAACAGAGAGTCATTTTCAATAAGAAAATATTTTCAAACCAACAAAACTTTAACGAATTTCATTTTTCCCACTAATGACATATCATACCTTAATGTTTCAAAAATGAGGGTGATCAGCACGTATTCCGGTATCGAAAATAGCCATTTTGACTTCAGCGCAGGTATATCCTTTTCGCCATAGAGCAGCCGCTCCGAATAAGGAAGTAACTTGAGACCTCTGTGAAATCAAAATCAGAAATTCCGTAACTTTCCTCCCTCGTTTCAATTCATTTTATTCTCGTAAATTTGGGAAATTTACTTCATCAAATTAAAAATTTACCTTCATCAAAATATGGCGACTCCAATTAATTGAGGAATTACTTAAACCCGAATGGTGGAAATGTTTCTCTTCACTGAACGACATCGAAGTAAAAATCTTTCCGGGTATCTTTTCTGCATTCTCAAAAGCACCGTCAAGCAGGCCCCTATTCTAGCTCAAATCAGCATTCACATCTTTAAGTAGCCCCAGCTCTTGAATTTCTTCAATCACGGTTTCTTTCACCGAATCCCTGATCGAAAGCAATCCAAAATCAGTGGGGAATTTAGCGGCCGGGTTGTGTCTCTGGATCCACTCCCACCCTTCGGATCGAAGGCTGGATTCCAAGTACGAACGGTGATCGGACGCATGTTTGTAATAGGTGAATCGGACAATGTAGTTGTTAAGGGTGGCTTGGGGTTGGTGGATTCGGTTAGGGGTTAGGGTTAGTTTACGGGACGAACGGAAAGAGAGTTTGAAATGGACAAGGAAAAGGAAGAGAAGAAGAACGAAAAGGGAGGATCTCAGAGGCAACGAAGGTAGAGCTGTGGCCATGGTGAGCGAAACTTGTTTGGCGGGAAAATTCCCTCATCGGATTCCGAGAAACGGATGTGGAAGAAGAGATCTCTTGTTTCTGTTAGACTTCAGTTGCATCAAAGCTTCCGACAACGTCGTCGATCTTAAAACGGAGGACAAAATCCAACTTGTCCACCTCATCAGCTACTACTGAATAATGAAGGTTAAACTATGTATTTAGTCACCCATATATATTTACGTTTCTATTTTGATCACCTAATTATTATTTTTAGGGTAAATTATAAAACTAGTATCCAAACTTTTAGAGAGTTTGTATTTTGGTTATCTAACTTTTGAAAATGTTAAAAAAGTCATCAATTTTTTAATTTATTTTCATTTATGTTCCTACCGTTATCTTCCGTTAGTTTTTGTTGACGCTAAATTAACCTTTTTTTTTGCTGAGATGACAGTTAACCCTCTTCTTCTTTTTCTCACATATTACAACAAATCAAAAGTAAATAAAACAGGTAAAAAAGAGAATAAAACCATAAAAAAAACTCAACTTCACAAACCTGAAAAAGTGACACCATCTGAGGCACTTGAAATATCGACGATGCATACATAAACTCCACAGCAAAATTAATGGCGAGCCGACAAGCATCGTGTGCGCAGGCAATGTCAACACAAGTGGAAACCTACATGGGATAAGCCTTGAGCTTCCCTGTATACAAATAACTCAACAAAACCTAAAAAACTTCAACCACTATCTTTCCATAAGGCAAGAAATCACATTTCTTGTAGCTTGGCTTCTTCTTCCTCACGTCTGCTTCCCCAGGCCCATTTTCTTTCTTGAAGAGTTAATTGAAGAACTTGCTTCGACTCAGTTTCGGGAAGGGAAAGTAAAGGGATATTGTGAGTGATTGAGCCGTTTGAGGGACGGGATAATGAACTGAAGCTCAATGAAGATGATGGTTCGGATAAATTAGCCACTAAAATCTTAATCTAAGAATACAAAAAGAATAATTAAAACTTTGGTTCAAAATCACATGATTGATAGCAAATAAAAAAAAACTTCCTTGAATTTCCAGGCCTCTTGATTATCATAATAAGAAAAACAAAGGTTTTTAGAAAAGGCCACGAATCAGATCCTTTGAAAAGGAAAATCCCAATGAATATTAATGTCTTTTGCTCTATAAAATGTAGCAAAAATGGAAACTTGGCTGAGATCAAAGAGATAATTTGATGGTTAGTGAAGAGCCGACGACTTGGGAAGAAAGAAAGAAAGTTTACGGAGGGATAATACTGAAAACAACTACGGTGACGACAGTTAAGTTCCACGTCAGTAAAAATTAAAGAGGTAACGGTAGATATTATACTGAAAACGAACTAAAAATTTAATGATTGTATTGTATGTTTTAAAAATTGTGTGACCAAAATTCAAGCACCTTAAAAGTTTGGGACTATTTATCTACTTTTCCCTTATTTTTAAGTGTATATAATTTTACATTTAGATTTTATTCTCATCATTTATCATTAGAAGTTAATGATAATATAACGTACCATTATAAAATAATATCATATCATCATTAAAAAATTTAAAAGAAATATTATATTGGTAATTTTATAATACCTATCGGAGAGTTAAAATTGTGTTATTGTGTTGGGTTTTTTTGAGATTTTTGTTTATTGTTTTTTTATTTTGTTATTAGTTGTGTTGAAATTAATCTTTCTTCAATTAGAGATGCGATGTGAAATTAGTCAATGAAAAATTTATTACATTAAAAAATAGGTTAAATGATCATTTTTTTAACCGAACTTGTTTGTACTAGTAGTTAAGAGATTTGTTGTTATCTTTTGAGGCATCGGATAACACCAATTATATTAGGGATATAAGTGTTTTTTTAAATGATTGAGAGTTATATTTGAACATATACTATCTTATATATATATATTAGATTTATATAAAAAATTATAGTAAAAATAGTTATTTTTATTTTTCAAAAAAATTATCATATCATCGTTGACGACCCACCCGTTATATCCTAAAATATCTTTTATAATCATTGTTATTTTTATATAATGGTTTTGTTTATTAGTTTATCTCGAAATATTGTTATATTTTATTTTTTTATAATCACGATTGTATTTATTTATTTTGTATTTGATAAAACGTTTATTGATAAGACTTTTGATTAATGAAATATCCGGATTATTTTCAATATATATATATATATATATATAATTTACCCAGTAAAATAAAGCCGAAATGTCTAATGACCAATAGATTATAGAGGAGAAAGATGGCTCACCCACAGTTTATTTATTGCCGTAATAATCATTTAATAAATTCCGTGCTATTGCCACCTGTCTTCTCCACGACCGTGAAATTAAATTCCGTACATGAAATGTCCAAATTACCCCAGGTGCATCTTAATCCAGCAACCTGACACCTATTTAGAGTGTTCTAAGACAGGTGTCGACACCAAATCAAACTCCCCGCCTTTTCTCGTTCGCGACTGACGGTGATTCCTAAATCACGTTTCCCTTTAACACTTTAATTTGTATTTTAGCCACAAAAAAAATAAGTTAATTATCTTAAATTATTTTAATTAAACTAAAAAAGCTATACTTAAGTGTCTTATTATAATATTTGTCTCTTTGTCGCGCTTTAATTCAATCCATTTTTCTTTAAAAGGAGAAAAACCATTGCCTGTGCTCTGTTCCTTTATTATGAAAAACCACCTTCTCTCCCAAGTCCCCACTCCTCGTTAACCTCCTTCCCCCCGCCGCAAGATAGCATATACCTCTACCTTTGTTTTCTTCTTTTTTTTACGATTTATAAATCTCTCTCTCTCTCGCTCGCGCGCGCTAGCTCGCTCGCTTTCCCGAATTTTCGGTACCTTAAAGTGAAACTGTCATTGAAGTTATCGGATGATCACGTACGGCAGATCTAACAGATCATCTTAAGCAAGGTGGATTTAATTTTAGCTTGTTGATCGAATATTAGCTTGTTTAGCGTTAATTTTCGCTTGATTCCTTTTTTAGTTTGCATTTCTTTGTAAGGTTTCTAATGTTATTTGCTTATTCTTTTTGCAAAAAAGGTTGTTTGTATTTGTATTTGTATTGATTGAATAAGGTGATTTATTGTAGTTTCACACTTTTAGTTTGGTTCCATTTAGAGATCATCTGTTTTCCTATTCCTTCCGTATTATTATTAAGAAAATCTAAGAAAAGAGTCTGTCAATTTAAATATCTAGTGTCAAATTAATAGTAGTCGGAATAAGATTATTTTTATGTTATTATGAGTATAATAAAGAATTGTTTGCCTTCTATTTAGGCTGATTGCAATCTTAATATCTAATTTTAGTATATTAACCGATTTGATTGGAGACTTCGTTGAACTTGATTGAGTGTTGATAATTAGAATAAATTACAATATATTGAGCCAAAAAAAAAAAAGATGCTGTGCTTGAATCTGTGTTACTTTTAGATGAAAGTTCTAATAGGGGAGAATAAACAAAGATCTTTACGTTAATGTTTTTATTTGTGATGAAGGAAATAAATTTTTCTTGTTAAATTGCTAATTAATGTGCAACTTCCACTGTGGCAGTACAGTATTTACAAAAGTACATAAGATTTGAGCGATTGAAGGCCAGATCTGGCTGCTCTAGTCTGGGATGTGGAGTCGTCATCGTGAAGCATTCTCCATGTACAAGAGGATGCCATCAGGAGATCATTCAACTATAGTTGATGATGTGGAAGAGAACTCAGGTAAAGTTATTTATTATAGACCAACTGAGGTCTCTGCATAGGCATAGCCATGTTTACCCTATCAGGTAAAGAATTTTAATTGCCTGAAGCGCATACATAACAGTATTAATCCCTTCAGATAGGTCTTTTTGAGTTTTGCATACAATTTTTTTTAACGAAATGGAAAGATTTTTGGAATTTTCTTATATTCTTTCTCCAGCAGTAAAATTTTCAGTTGTGGAATTCTTTGGCTCTCTTTTCATTTCGCTCTTACAGAAAAGACTTTTGTTGTGGAATTATTTGCAATTATTTTGAGCTTTCAAGTTACTTTAAAAGACTTTTGTACTTAATTTGTGTGTTTGTTTAGCTCTCTTACAAAAAAGCATGGACATGGAAACTACAAATCCTTCATGGTTGCTTTCCTTTCCGCATGTAGTAGTGGCAACCATAACTTCACTCCTATTTGGCTACCACCTTGGGTTTGTGTGCTATCTTAAACTTCACCTTCATATCTTCTTTGTTTTGCTTGTTTGTTTTGATTGTTCTCATAACAAGATTAGATTTTTATGATTTGCATGTTGTCCATCCTATACAGGGTAGTTAATGAACCACTTGAAAGCATCTCCATAGATTTAGGTTTCAGTGGCAATACTCTGGCTGAAGGTGACATTTTATCCCAATTTTTTCCTTCTAGACTTTTGTTTCTGGACCCTATACCTCTAACATGATAGACTTTATTATGGAATGTTAAATTTAGGTCTGGTGGTGAGTACATGTTTGGGTGGTGCCTTTATTGGATCTTTATTCAGTGGTTTGGTTGCTGATGGTGTTGGACGTCGTAGGGCATTTCAGTTGTGTGCTCTGCCTATGATTATTGGTGCCGCTACAAGGTGAGATATACATTGGTAGTGAAATGCTTTAATGAATGATTTTCAAGCAATGCCCATTATTTTATTTCTTAATACTGGACATAATAGCTTTTTATTTAAATTTAATAACATCTTAATCTATTTGATTTACTTTGTTACTGTGACAAATTACTTTTTTATCATCAAGAAAGATGGGTTAGAGATATAAGTTTGTTACCTTGAGAAAAAAGTTATGTTTTACTACAAATTTTCTATCTTGAATGAAGTAAGACTAGCTAGTAGCTGTGGACCTTGATTGATAGTTCCTTCTACTTTTATCTGTGATAGCTTTGCTTGTGCAGAGATCATGTTTTAAACTGGTTACTTATATGCGTCACATATAGAACTTTTTGTTGTCTTTATAATCTTTTGTTTGCTTGCTCTATTCACCACAACATTCTGTTCTTTTGGATTCACTTCATAAATTTGAATTTATAAGAATGGTACTCTGACAAACAAATTTCATCTTAGTGCAACAACAAAAACTTTGGCGGGTATGCTCATCGGAAGGTTCTTAGTTGGGACTGGAATGGGACTTGGTCCACCTGTTGCCTCTCTTTATGTGGCAGAGGTATTCACACTGTTAATGATATTTACAGTAATCGTTAACATGTATAGCACTCTTTCTTTTTGCATGAATGTAATCTGTACTTTTGTCTTCTGATTTTATGTACTCAATTTGTGTAGGTTTCCCCTGCTTCTTTAAGGGGAACGTATGGAAGCTTCATCCAGATTGCAACATGTCTGGGACTAATGGGAGCTCTGTTTATTGGAATCCCTGTCAAAGAAATTGCTGGCTGGTATGAATCATGATTTAGGTATCACAGTATCTGTTATTTATATGTTGCTTGTCTGACTTATTTTGCAAAATTTTCTCAGGTGGCGTGTTTGTTTTTGGGTCTCAACTATTCCCGCTGGATTACTTGCATTTTTCATGATGTTTTGTGTGGAAAGTCCACATTGGTTGTACAAGGTTTGCTCTCTGATTTGCATGCAATCACCTGATTTTATATCTTAATATATTATATATGGTTTGTAACATCTTCCTGTAAGTGTATTTATGTTGCTGCTTCACTTTTTATAGATGCAATTGATCTGTTAGTATCACTGTCAATTATTACTGGATCCTTTTCTGTCATTCTTATTTTATGCTTTTTTGTATAAACTGCACCCATGCCCACGTTGAAAATTTTCAAAGGCATGCCTATCACCTCTAACACGTGATCACGTTCAATAAAAACAGATATTTAGTATTATTAAAGGTCATGTTGAAGTAGAATTATTATGTTATCTTGGTGGTGTCGTCAGAAAGCAAGAAGTGCTGAAGCTGAAGCAGAATTTGAGAGGCTTTTAGGTGGATCACACGTCAAATATGCCATGCTAGAATTATCCAAATTGGACAAGGGGGATGAAGCAGACGCTGTGAGGCTCACAGAATTGCTCTATGGCCGCCATTTTAAAGGTAGATATTTACCTTTTCTTGTAATGCTATGCTTTCTGAGTTTTTGGGGTCACTGTTCTGCTTTACTTCTTTCCTTTTGGATTTTGTTATTCATGTTCTCCTTTTGCAGTTGTTTATATTGGGTCAACCCTATTTGCTTTACAACAGCTATCTGGAATAAATGCTGTGTTTTATTTCTCTTCATCTGTATTTAAAAGTGCGGGAGTGCCATCGGATGTTGCAAATGTTTTGATAGGAGTAGCAAATTTATCAGGTATACCTTGTTCTTTGATAATTTGACCATGAAATATCATGGCATTTTGGCATTGTCTCTTGATGCATGATTTTTCTTTCATGATAGGATCTATTGTTGCGATGCTTTTAATGGATAAACTTGGAAGGAAGCTGCTTCTTTTGTGGAGCTTCTTTGGCATGGTAATTTACAAGAGTTGTGATTTTCTCATTAAAACATCTTTCATTTATTAGTCGTAGTATTCAGTGGAGCTATATGTGACAAGTATCTATAAAACGAAGAAAAGAAGCACATATTATTTCTCAAGGCTCATTAGAATTTACATCGCTTAATGCTTTACTATGTTCATCTTTTGTGCCAAGAGCCCTCCTGGTTTAATTATTCTACACATCTGTTTGAAATGGAACGAAATCAATTACTTTTTTGTTAAAGCTAGAATGTTATTCATAGCAAGGATTTTGGAGCATTTGTTTCAAATTATACTGCTGCGACCTTGTTGTGCATGGCTCAGCTAAAAGCAAATATCAATTCTCTTTCCTTAAATGAACGAACCAAAATTGATTTTATAAATTCTGACTTTGAATTTAATTTACTCAGACTATTGCAATGGTTCTTCAAGTTGCTGCGGCAAATACTTTCATGTCAGGCTCTGGATCTTTATACCTATCAGTTGGTGGCATGCTAATGTAAGTATTGGTTGCCTGAAGGCAACTAGAAATTGCCCCATGGCGTAACTGTCAGCCCTGGTTGCCTGAATTTCTTGATATGGATTCTTAATTTTAAACACACTGCAGGTTTGTCTTAACATTTGCACTAGGAGCTGGTCCTGTTCCCGGTCTCCTGCTGCCTGAAATTTTCCCTAACCGAATCAGGGCAAAAGCTATGGCATTCTGTATGTCAGTACACTGGGTAATTTATTCTCTTCTTTCTTCATTTCGGATGTTATTTGTTTGCATTTTTTTTCTTCCGAGCAAGAACTTGTTATTGACAGCTTTCGCAATCAAAAGCAACTCCGCTGGCTGGAATATCAAATTATTGAGGAACAAACATGAAATAGAGAATCTTTCTTCTGATGTTTTTTCTTGGTTGTTTTTGCATTGCACTTCAGGTAATCAATTTCTTTGTTGGTTTGCTCTTCCTGCGCTTGCTGGAGCAACTTGGCCCGCAGCTTTTATACACCATTTTCGCAAGCTTTTGCATGATGGCTGTGGTCTTTGTTAAAAGGAATGTAATGGAGACCAAAGGAAAATCCCTTCAAGAGATAGAGATTGCTCTTCTCCCACCGGAATAGAGATGCTACGTCATCTTCCAAAATTTTTTAACATTTATTTTTTGATGTTGAGCTAAAACAACCACCCGACATGTACAAATATGCGAGCGCAACAGTGTTATGCATGTATGTATTATCAATAGTAGATAATTCAGTCCACACGGTCGAATGAATTTATATATCAGATCAAACATAACTTTGAAGAGCAGATATTTTGATCTCATGAAACCAATTTTAGGTATTCATGTGTATTTGGCGTGAAGTGTGTCTAGGTTAGGTGTGTGGTCAAATGGATTTCGAACCTAGTCGAACTTAAGAAATGCGTACCTGAGCAGATGTTATAATATCATACCCCATTTGATCAGCAAGATATGCTCCGTCATCCCGAAGATCTGATTCATATATAGAGACGAACAATTCAATGTTATTCACGAACTCGTCTATTCAAACAAGCTTAACTGCAGCAACATATGATCAAAGTTTCCAAATAGCAGCCTACCTAATTTTGTTCCAACCAGAACAATGGGAACATTCAGCGCAAATCTACGCAGTTCCGGCATCCACTGTGGACAGACGAGACGGAAAAATTAGGAGCTTGGATAAAACAAACTGAATTTTATTTGATTCATGAAGACTCCACTAAAATTGTCTTTTTCCAAGAAACACAGCAAAGCCAATGAACATTTTCTTGAAGAAAGTACCTTCTTGAGAACGTTTTCATAGCTTGCTCTGCTAATTAACGAGAAAGCCAAGACAAATATGTCTGCACCTCGGTAACTCAGTGGCCTTAGCCTGCTATAATCCTCTTGACCTTTAAATCAGATGGGAAAAAAAAAACAAATCAGAAATGGAGCATCAAATGAAAGTCCATCAAATCTTCAAAAAAGAAAAAATCCAGCAAGAAGCCAAGGATAACTCGGGAGGTTTATAAACCTGCAGTATCGTATAAGCCCAAATTAACAATGCTCCCATCCACAGCCACATTGGCACTGAAATTATCAAACACAGTCGGTATATAATCCTGAAAAAAGAAAAAGTACAACTTTAAACCCTATCCAGAAGTTTCAAAAACCCCTGAAGTTGAGTGAAAATGAAAGTGAGGCAAGTGTTTTAAGCAAATAGGGGCGACTTACGGTTGGGAACTTGTTGCTGGTGTAACAAAGGAGCATACAGGTTTTGCCAACAGCTCCATCTCCAACTGTGACACATTTAATGAACTTGGAAGCACTCATAGTGTTCTGAAAAGCTTCCCAATTTGAACCGAGACGAGCAGTATAATTCTTATACTACTACAACAGCAGCAATATATTCAAAGTTTGAGGCAAAGCTAGCAAGCTGGTTCAGAGTCGAAGTTAAACAAGAAACCAGAAACGGTTGTTTTCAGATGAGTTGAGGACAGTGAAAATGATATAGTTGTTGTAATTTCAAGAAAACATCAGGCTTATAAGAGTAATCATCTGTGGTCAATGGTGTTGCACAGCACTTAATCGGCCATGTCGATGGATTTCAAACATCTAAACAGGAAGATTTTTTGAAATGCAGAAAAGGAATGGGCCCCTCTTTCCGATTGGTACATTAGGTTCAGGCCCTTCCTTTCGTTGTTGGTTTTCAGCTTGTGTTTTTCACAGTATATATTTTATACTGTTTCACAGGTTCTTATGATTAAACAAATAAGCTTCTCTCTAAGTGTATTCGAGCTTTTAAATTTAAAGGAAAGATGCTTGGAATTCAAAGTTTCAAACACCGAAAACTTTAGTAAATTACTATATTGGTTGTATTGGCTGTAGTGTTTACAGAACTCGAAGAAACTCAGCAGCAGGTTTAAAGCAATTGATGAAGTTAATTGGTTTTGCTGCTGTCTTCTTGCACTATCAATGAAAAAAGCCAGTAACAGTCGAAGTAATGATTTCCTTGTAAATCCCCCGGTTTTAAAAAAGAATTCTTCAAATGAATGAGCCCGCTAGATTCATTCAGTTTATTATACATTTATACTAACACATGTTATGTCGACTTGTCTCTTTTGTTCTTGGCATTAGTTGAAAACCTTTTTCAGAAGTTTCTTATTATTTCCCTAAAAAGACTTTATAGTGTCTAAATTCACCCCATAGACAAAAAGCTCCCTCGTTTTGAGGATATTTTGGCACCCACTAAACCAAATTTAATAACTTGAATCTAAGAAGGTACACTTGAATGTTAAATATAATATTAATTGTTTCATAAAGATATTAAAAAATTATAAATTTGTTAGATTCCGGTTCAACACCCCGCATGAAAAATTTGACTAGACTCGACTCAACTCACGGAAAGTTACCCATGAAAAAGATCTAAATCGGAGTTACTGTTAGCGGAACTCAAAATCTGTGCATAACTCACGAGAAGTACATGTTATTGCTATAACCTCTATGAAAAACAAATCCATATTACTAGCCACTAGTATAAACTATAAAGATTAAAGACCAAGGGTCGTTTATGAAGATGGCCGACGAGATCACCTCTGTGGATAAAGCAACTCTAAAGCACTGCTTTAAGGATCTCATCGGCACTGGAGACGGTGAAATCCAACCCCGGGCCTCGATATTTGCAGCCTTTCTCACTATGGTCAAGCACCAAACAGACAAAAAAAAAGTATCAGACTACTATCAAGTCATAGATGCCATATTATTAGAATATCATCAATGAATATGTTAATACCTTGGTTTCTCCGTTGCTGCATTAACTTTTATGATAGCATATCCATCAGAATCCAACATTGTCGCTATGCCAGTGGCAAGGTTTGGCAATCGATCTTCCATCCAGCCATCATGACGTGGGAAAATTGGTAAATGAGCTTGTTTGTCATGTATACAGAGAAGAGTTCAAAGGACAACATGAATCCGGAAAATGATCATCCAGCTCCATCTTCAAAATAAGCTACTACTGCAGTAACAAAATCCTGATTGCAACTCCAACCAAAGTATAATACCAATTGAAGCAGCTCTGGAAGATCCCCCTCAGTGACTAGGATTTCCAAAAATGATTAGCACATAATCAAGCAAACTAGTGCCACCAGAACAACAGAAAAGAACCAGCTGGACTGATTTTGCAGACATACTACCAAGTAAGGCAACAATATAGAATCAGAGTTAATACAAACTAGATCGTATATGTGATAACATTTCGCATTACCTGAACTAAAATTCCTCAAGCAACAAGCTAAGAGTGAAAGCCTAGTACCTGGAATATAGCTCCATGCCAGTACTTTGTAATTTACAATCAAACCTATATTCCCGATGAAGTATGTAAGATCACATGTGCTAATTTTTTCTCTGATTGTCCGCATCCACGTTATTAAACCCTTTTGACAGAAAGATGTAATTTCTGTGGAGTATATTATTAAAGGACAATCAATCTCTGAACATAAAACGTCAGAAAAAGCTTCACCCCAAAATTTCAGTCTTAGTTTGTTGCTTGAGGATCATTAACAATTAGCTTCCTGAAAAACATATCTATCGAGTGATCCTAGTGAACTTACATGAACCTATCAAATGTAAACCAACAACTTCCTGGAACAGGCAAAAGATTTCAATTGGCTGAACTATGGAATTGAACTCTCGATGATTCACTAAGTGAAAGACTATATGTAAAATTCAAACTGTAAGTGGTTCATTAGCTTAACAAATCAAACTTTAAATTCCTGTTAAATTGACATCAGTATGGAGTACATCCAAAAAGCATGATCTTGTCTAAGAATGACAAGGAAATGGCTCCAACAAGTTGGCAAAACTATACTTATCAATCATTTTATCTTAAATATGGTTAGATATTGCAAGCTATATATCTGAAAAGATTGAACTTCTCCAAAACATATGGACTTCCAGAAAAACTTGGACCTACTAAAACACAATCAGAGTGACCAGTTAGACCGAAGCACAAAGGCCACGGTTTGGGAATTTCCATCTACTATATAAGCCACACCTGGTTTCAAACTAAATGTCTTAATTGGGTTAAATTTTACATTAAATTCAACCTGAAAGTGGCCACGGTTTCCTGGAATTTCAACTCCACCAGTACTCATACCCCAACCATACACATCTTCAGAAGTATCAGAGAAATTGACAGCGCATTCAAAATGTTTTGGAGTTGCTTGTTTCATCTCAATCCTACCGGAAAGTCTTTTGTATGCATCAAATTCTGATTCCAGCTTCAGGGCAATAGGTCCAAATTCCAGGTTGTTTGTTGTCAAAGGTGGAAAAGATGTTTCATCATCAGTTGTATAAGCATCTTCAAGAGGCCTAGAAAATCCAACAGGAATAGCAAGTGCTCTAGGATGGATATTACGACCTGCCAATTTAGGCCCCTGGTGAAGGCCTAAAACTGAAAGTTTAAATCCTAAAGGAAATTGACAAACAACTTGTCCAAAAGTACTCAAGCAATGTCCAAGAAGCAATGAAATTTGACATCCTCATTGTCACTCCAGTTGCACTTCCAATTTGCTGATGCAACAGGGGTGGCCCCAATGATAAACCAGTGAGACCCTTTTCATCCTATACAAGAAAAAAGGATCCAGGTTAGTACAGAAAAAGAGTTCCAAGACCAACAAAAACTTAAAAACTTCACATCATTTATGGAGTTTGATCAGTAATTGAAGTAAAATTCATATAAATAAATGCAACGCACAGAATAGTTTGTGCAGATCTATTTAGACAGCAGTGAAGCCATTAAGAAATCGCGAAGGTTAAAACTTTGTAATCCAAACTATGTAATCCGAGGTCAAGTAAATTATACCTGAAGGTAAAAGTCGGAGGCGACATCCAGATCTTTAACCTGAGCTCCAAATGGAATAGCAATGGCAGAAAACCAATCGGTAGCATTTACTTTATAAAACAACTTAGATAGCGAAAGTGGAGTTCCATTTACATCACCGTCACTACTTGCAACCCTTTTCCGATCGGCCACGAATCCAATCCCAACAGAATCTTTATCCCCAACATTTGTTTCAAATCTAAACTTGGAACCAACCCCAGTTTCAATTCCTGCCCGATCAACCCCATCCCAATGTTCCTTGTCAATCTTGGACATGAACAATGCGGCTCCAAGAAAATTGACTTCACCTCTGCATCCCAATGTTTTTTCAGATCCCAGACTTCCACAATTCCTCCTCTGCATCCCAAGTATATCAGCTCCGAGCTTATTGTCATACACCTCACTTCCGAAGTCGTCGGCAGCGATCCCATCATGTTATAATTTCTAGTACTCCAAATCTTTGCAGAAAAAAAGAATAGAATTAAAAGAAAGTCAAAAAGCCATTGCTTGTCATCAAAATGAAGAGAAGATAAAGATGGAAGGGAAGGGAAGGGATAGCAGAAAGAGAAAAGGAACCTTGACTGCTACTCCATCTAAGGCAGTGCTGGCTGAATATATCAGTCCATTGTGAACCTGGAGTGCATGGATTGGATGTGCTTTTCCTAGTAGTTTTCTTGAACCACTTTGAATGCTGCTGAGTGTTCTTGATGCCAAATCAAGTTCCTGTATACTGTTATCATGGCATCCACAGTATAATCTTCCTTGGTCAAGAGCCAAGCACTTGATGTACTTGTTTTGATTTAATAATTTTGATTGTCCATTCCATGCATGAACCTGAAAGGGGTAAACAAAAAGGGCTTAAACTCATATTCCTTCTTCAGATGCAGAAAGCTAAGAGAACTTTAAAATGAAGCATGGAACTATCGGTACCTTAACACCGGCTCCTTGGGGAATGAAGCAAGAAATGCTGTTGGCAACAACTAAATTATGAACGTGGTCCTTCATATCATGTACTTGTACGCAATGTATTATTTCATTGGTGATGGACCAAACCTGTTCATTGCGAACAGAATCTATCAGTTTGGCACTTCGGTGGATTAAACTAGAAGAAGCATAAGAGCATACCCTTGCAGTTTTATCAAGTGAACCACTATATAACCGTTCCCCAGATAGTAGAACATACAAGCTCGTAATGGCTTTTGTATGTTCCCGAATTTCTTGGACAAGATGAAGATTGCTGCCTGTAACAGCCCAGACCTTTAAAATTTTAAACATAACAGTCAAAACTCAAGTTTCATTACCTTCTTCCACTGGTACAATTTCAGAGAGAGAAGTTTGCAGTTAAAACATGATGTTCCAAGAGATATATACTCAAATAAGAGCTGTAATTTCCCCATAAATAAAAATCATCTGAAGAATGGCCGAAATGAAGGTTGATTACGTATTTGTGTATAATTGAATATCACATATACGTAATCAACCTACCTGTGTACAAAGCAGAGCAGAAGGTTACCTTTATAGTTCCATCGGTATGGCCTGAAAAGAATTTGTCTTTGAAACTGACAATTGACAATACTTCTCCATTTTCAGCAGAGTCTACTTGAGCTAATTCTTTATGATTCCACAAGTCCTACAGCACAACGGAAATAGGCAAGTTTAAGTTGGTACTTTCACCTTAGTTTTCATGGAACTATTGTTTCAGAAGTTTAACACGCTTACAGCACTGCAATCCTTGTTCTTCAGAGAGAAGTTCCATAATTTCAAATGCCAGTTGGGAGGATTTTCTAAGCTCTCTTAAACCTTTCAAAATGTGCTTCGCATAGGAAGTCAGATCACGCAGTCCTTCTGAAATTCAGATAACCTTGCGTAGTTAACTATAATGCAGTTTGTAAGAACCTATGAATCAATCTTTTTTACTGAAAAAATTAATACCTACCATGGTCATGAACGAAGCTTTTGAAAGCCAACAAGGAAAGTGTTCTGTCTTCAATGTTCTTTGAAGACTTGAATGTTCAGATAAAGTGCTTGAGTAGGCAGACTCGAGCAGCTCCTCTTTTTCCGGTGTCTGGAAGAACACCTAGCATGTACACTAGCCATGTTGCTGCCACGAAGCACGCTGACCATAGCTTTGCAGATTCGCTCGTCAGCCCTTCTGCTAAAGCTTCAAAGACCAGGCCAAATTCATGACTTACTAAAACAAAGGCCATCCTTTTTTCCCAAGCATCAGCTGCCTTCTCTTCTTCCTGTTGATAACAATGCCAATAAAACTTGCAAAAGGAAAATGGAATGAAAAAAGGTATGTAACCACTTTTGAAATCACTCACAGATATATCTTCAAAGTCTCCAGGATTGTTGTGTAGTTGCTCCATCCGCATGAGCTTTCTGTAAATTTTCTCAAGTCCGGCATGTTTTAGAAGAAAAGGCCGAGCGAGGGGCTTCCCAGAGGTTGTGAATCTTCCCTGGAGCGAATCAATTGTCTCTGCGGCTGCAATTTGAGCAGCAGGGAATTCTGAATTTCTGAGGCATGAAATGAGGGTATCGATCGCCTCTTCACGATAAATGCTCATCTTTCTTGGTTCAACCTGCAGAGTGAGATAGTACTTATTACTGAACGATCAAATATGTAACGATCTAAGCCATTGTGAAAGCCTAAAAGATGCAGATTTCTCATATGTTAAATTCTGAGGGAGATCTTAGGTCCAAACCAGAAGATCAAGTTGGAGTGGGAGACCAGCCACAACGGGACATTGGTTTGGGAGCGCTGTATGTAAATAAACTAGGAGAGTATGCATTGTACTAAAAGCTCCTTCATCCCTGATAATGTTGAGAATTTGCTCATTGAATGTCCTCCTGGAGAAAGCCATATAACCAAAAATTCATTCACGCAGAGGTTGATTCAATATTCATTAGCAAGAAATATGAATGTACCTATTTAATTTGACTAACTCAGAAAGAAAGTAAACTATCTCAAATTGATTTGCATCGCTTGTGGCCATGAAATTTTCTAGAACTGGGGCCACCTGAGCTTTATCAGCAACAGTGTTTCTGCATTTACCATCTTGTTGTATGCATCTTCGCAAGATACTAACTGCAGCAATCCTCTCAACTGCCCATTCAGCTTCCAAGCTGCCAACAACATTTTCAATCACGTTCGAAGAAACAATTGTGCCGATAACGTAAGATGCAACATTCTCCTCGTCGCTCTGAAGAATTTGTCTCAATAAGAGAAAAGAAGCTGTTTTCGGCTTCAAGCACATTTTAGTTGAGTCTTCACCTCTCCCCTTTATAACTGCTAGGAGGGATTTCACTAGATCCATCTCCACTAGGCCAGTAATTGAAGGTCTTAACAGATATATTAACACAACCGCCTCTTCCAGCCCTTCCTTAACAAAGCAACAATACGTTCGACATCGGAGTCGACTCGGGTAAGTGTATGGATCACGGTTTCATCACTAGAACCAAGTTCACACAGTAGAAAAAAGGTGGCCTTCAGCACCTGGAGGTTTCGAGAGCATAGCTAGAATATCAGATTCTATATTCATGTCTTGCCAAAATCTCTCTATTTGTAGAATAGCCTTTTCCAACTCCTTGAGAATTTCAGACATACAAAGATTAGTAATCGCTTGGCGTAACTCCCCAATGGTTCTATCCATTGCGGCCTGGCTTATGACACTATTAGAAGTTGCAGGAACTACAGACTTGACCATCGGCTCATGATGATCGGTTTCTACATGTCGATGATTATCGGACTGATGTGGGACCGGACCCTGACTCTTTTCTTGCCAGCTCGCTATGAGCCTCTTGAGCACATAATTCGTTTTAGGCAGCTGAGTGCTATGTAGACTGGCGGGTAATCGGACATGTCGAGTTACCCCGATCTAGCCATTCCTGGATTGCTCTACGCTCGTAAGTCTGGCCTGTTTCAAGGGTGACTGGATCATCAAACAAATGGCTTGTGATGGGGCAAACAAAATCCTTGGGAGGCGTTTGTTTCCCACTGCCAGGGGGGTTACCATTATCCGCCATTAGATACTGAAGAGAGCTGATAGATATCAACACAAATCCAAATATCAAAAAATAAAGTAGCCAAAATATAATTAAAAAAAAGTTGCTAAATGCTTTTCAATATTACTTACCGACAAGAATCACCAAGAACAGGCTGCGTTGCGTTGTTTCCATTTTCTAACAATGCTTCTTCTCTGTTGTTTTCCTACAAAGCCAAGACCAAATTTTTTTTCAAAACTAAAAAGACATTCATTGACGTTTTAGCCTAGGGAGTGGCCATTTGTTTTCTTGTTTGTGACGAGAAGATTACCTCGACATGGGAATCGGATTCGAAGGAACAAGAGTCGGCAGAATTGTCCTCGGAAAGAGACTCCGTTTCAGAATCAGAAACTAAACAGGGCGATGTCGCCAACGATCGAGAGTTTTGTTTTCCAAGGATATTTACAGACACCCTCTGCGGATAAAACGGCGGGAACTTGGATTTGCTGCTGCTGCTAGAAAATTCAACTGAACTTTCTCGTTCGTCCCAGATTGGCTGCACAAATCATTGACAGAACAGCAACAAACTGGAATAAGCAAGGGGTTGAATTCAGATTTCAGAGAACCAACCCGACAGTTTATGACAAAATGCGTTCCCTTAGCCAAAAATGAATGAGAAAGAAATAGTAAACCTCTTTTTCAATATCCATACAATGCAGTGCAGATTAAATTTTGGAAGAAGAATTAATAACCATTTTATTTCTTCAAGTTGCAAGTATGGTGAAGTAAATACAACTTAAAATTTTAAGTAGCAGCCTGTTCGAATAATTAAATCAATATAACAAAGAAAAACATTTAATTTAAAATGACTACAAACAAATGTTTGCACGGAAGACTAATTTTATGTTAGAGATTAATTTAATTTTTTTAAAATTTTAGAGGATCAAACTTAAATTTATAAAGTTTTAGGTGAAAAACTGATTTTTAATAAATATATAAAAAAAATCTAAAGCATATAATAATTTTAAATTTTTAGGAGCGATTATCTCATCTGTCCTAATTGATTCATATGAATTGTTTAACC